ACTTAAATGCAACGTTGAATGGTTTGACCACCATAAGAGCCTACTGCGCGCAGAACATATTGAAAAAGGAATTTGACAAACTGCAAGACGTTCATACCTCCACAGTTTATATGTATGTAGTAGCAAGCACTGCCTTTGGATTCTCGTTGGACGTCTTTTGCTTCGTCTTCACATCCTTAGTTACCTTTAGTTTTCTCTTATTGGAACAATGTGAGATACAAATGAATATTTTCTGAATTAGTTAGCGCACTCCTGTTTTTTCACTGTGCAGCAATATTTAATGATTCTCTTGCAGCGTTCTCCGGTGGAGAGGTTGGTTTGGCCATCACCCAGGTAATGGCCATGACTGGGATGATTCAGTGGGGTATGAGACAGAACGCCGAGGTGGCGAATCAGATGATGTCTGTGGAACGTGTACTGGAATATACTCAGATTGTGCCTGAACCGAATTTACGCGACCGAGGGAAGTTCGCCAAGAAAACTGAGAAGCAAGTCGCGCTTCCCGCCAACACACCAAAGAATTGGCCGACGAATGGAATGATCAAGTTCAGAAGCGTTTATATGAAATACGTAGAGGATGATGCTCCCGTATTGAAGGGACTGAACATTGCAATTAATCCTGGAGAAAAGGTACGTGGATTTTTCATCTATTTGAGAAAACCAAAAACAGTATAGAGATCGGATTAAAAAATATAAGATTTAATTATCTTGCAGATAGGTATAGTGGGAAGAACTGGAGCTGGAAAATCGTCTTTGATATCAGCTCTGTTCAGGCTAGCCAAAGTCGATGGTGTCATAGAAATCGATAGCGTGGACACTGGATCTATTTGTTTGGAGGATTTACGACGTCGTATATCGATCATTCCTCAGGACCCAGTTTTATTCTCTGGGACGTTGAGACGGAATTTGGACCCTTTCAGTGAATTTACAGACAAGGCTCTTTGGGAAGTACTGGAGGAGGTAATAAGCTGGAACCTAATAACAGTCAACTTTTCTTTTTTCTTTCCTTTCTCCATGATTGAAATTTTTGATAACGTTGGTGTTTGATCGCATGACAAAGGTGGAGTTAAAAGACGCTGTAACTAGTACTGGAACAGGATTGGAGAACCGCGTTTTAGATCGTGGTAGCAACTACAGCGTTGGCCAAAGGCAGCTGGTCTGTTTGGCGAGAGCTATCTTAAGAAACAATAAAATACTTATGCTTGACGAAGCTACGGCCAATGTGGATCCACACACGGATGCCTTGATCCAGCAAACGATACGAAAGAAATTTGCCAACTGCACTGTACTTACTATTGCTCACAGGTTAAATACCATTATGGACAGCGACAAGGTGTTAGTTATGGATAAAGGTCGTATGGCTGTAAGTAGAATTTTTTACTCGTGTATTTGGTTTGGTATGTAAATTAAATTGCAGTTAAATAATAAATTATTGAAAGTATGAATTACAATTATATGAAAATTTAGTACTGATTGTCTAGTTATCTTGAATCTCGATTTATTAAATATTGAATGTTTTCTCCTTGAACGTCAGTCATGTATGAAACGCTGTTTTCATTTGCAGGAATTTGATCATCCTCACTTGCTGTTACAAGACAGCTACAGCCAGTTCAAATCATTAGTCAGAGAAACTGATCGTGCGATATATGACCAGTTAGTAAAGGTAGCGAGGCAAACTTATATGGCCAGAAACGAAAAACGATAACTGCTAGATAAAAACGGCTTGGTAAAACAGTTGAAGAGTTTGCAGCAATAAGGAGCAGCCAGCTTGCTATTTACATCGGTAAAAGGGGAAGGACGGCGCCGGAAGAGAGCTGTGAATTTTCTGACTTCGGAAGAATATTCGGAAAGTGGAGATACTCGCCTTTCTTGTTGCAACAGCCGCTTCATTCAATTGCCAAGCGATAGAGCCTGTGCAATACGAGAATCATATTTTTAATTTTATTCCTACCAAGTATTATTACAAGCGTATACAATATAGTTATATGATCGATATAATATAATGTGGTCTCGAGCAATAATCGAGAGAGGATATTTTTATACGTCCACGCGTAGATTGTTGCAACTTGTTATTCCAAGTACTCTTTCTTTCTTGTAACTAGATTGCTAATTTGTATGCACGAACCCCAAAGAAACGGAATCTCGAAGAGAGAAAGTTTTTTTCGTTTTCCAAATGGCGTGAAACGAAGGATTTTTTCTTTTTGAAAAACATATAAGTATATTTTTGTAAAAGCCTCTTTTGTTGTGGTTCCTCTGCGAACTACCGCGCACGTAATTGAGATTTGCATGAAAATCCAAAGTCTACTTGTAATGTATAAGCAGAACGCCGCTAGGCGGCGTGCCGAACTTTCAAATGTTCGTAGGTATACTTAATTTTTGTACTTCATATTCTACGAGTTCACACCGTGGGGAACTATTGTGTCTGTTGCTATTGGAAAAAGGGGGAGAAGGAACGAAAGATACAGAATTTTCAATAGTTTTGGACATCCACGCAAATGCCAAAAAACAACAACAAAGAATTAAAAACTAGCTATAAGAATTATACTGTTCTTTTTTTCTTAAAGAAATGTTCTATTCCAGCTTATAGTATTTTTCTATGCAAGATTATTGTACTATACAATATTATATAATGACCTATTATATACAATATGTGCAAAATGTTTTATAGATACACGTGCTGTAGCACGGGTTGTGACAGAGATCGAATATCGATTTATTTGTCACTTGGATACAGCGTTCGATAGTTCCGTCTATAAATTGAAATACGATCGATCGTATTAAGAATATATATCACTCGCGAGGATTACACAGCGGTGCAGTGTTCATTGTATAATTTGATATAATTTTTTATTGTACATGCCGATCTGTAATATCGAATTGTAAATAAAATACTTTACTTTTATAATACGCTATCGGAGTAATTTATTTCAATAATATTGGTGGTATTTACCGGTTTGTAGGTTATCTATGGCCCCGTTTACCGAATGATATGTTTTTCTCACATCGAACGTGTAATTCAAAAAATGTTACTTCAATCCACGTGTACTATTTCAGTTTAATATATTGTTGTAACGAAATTCGAAACCAGTTATGTAAGTTTTGTGTGTTTTGAATGGCAGAGCGCTGATTGGTCGAAATTATTACGCGCGCCATTTGTCGCGATTCTATTGGTCGTAGAGTATTGCCCGACATATCGCGCACGAATTTTAAAACATGCAATTGTGGTAAACCAACTGAAACGTATTGAATACGAGAACGAAACGTATTTTACGGAAAAATACGACTATAAAGTGCGCTGCAATGCCACGGATAACTTATTTCATTGGAGTTTCAACGTTATTTTACAAATTCAGGTCGCTCAAGGTAATCCTTATTTTTAGAATGCATTATTCAATTTATTTATCGGTTGTTTTAAGTAGTGCAATAGATAGTGCATGTTAGTTCGGCAAGTAATCAGTCGGTGGACACGGATATGTATTGAAAGAAGAGGAACATGGAAGTGAAGTTCGCATACACCAAGCACAATCCGAAAGAGACTGCAAATCCTATTAGTCGATTATTTTTTGGGTAATATCCGACCGCTGTTGCAACTGTGTATGCATAATTATGTACAATTATATTTGTTATTCTAATGTTTTTAGATGGATGAAGGACATATACATGAATGGTATTAAAAGAGAGCTCACGTTGTCAGATCTGTATCATCCTTCAAAAGCGGACTCGTCGAAAACGGTGACGGATCAATTACAAGAGTGAGCATGACAATTAGTTCTTTGAGCAGTTAGGTTTCAAAGCTCTCTGCCACGATGAGTCAGAAATTTCAAAGTTGTGCGATGGCGGTGTATATTGGTAGTTGTAATAATTACAGTGATTACAATATACTATTAATAGTAGAGTAATAATAGCAATAATATTATGATAGTAATATGCAATGGTGGCCAGTTGAGATTCCATTTTGAATGAAAACTGTTGTCTGTTGCAGATGCTGGAACGAAGAACTTCAGAAGTGGGAGCAAAAGAGGAAAGAAACTCAACACGAGAAATCTCTGGAGGAGAGCTCTGATTCCCCTCGTCTGGAGAGAGCTCTGATTCGTACATTTTGGAAGGAATATCTTTTCGCTGGCATCCTCTTGTGTGCGGAGTACAGCGGCTTGTTTATACTCAGCCCACTTATACTGTCGTGGATCGTCGGCTACTTCAGGATCGACGACGACGCTACAGAAACTACTACGGAGAACGAAGTTCTAGTCTACATCTGCTATTTGTTACTTTGCTTGATATTTTCAGTGTTCCTCATGCACCACAGCGATCTGTGGTCCCAGGAGATAGGCATGAGGATAAGGGTTGCTTGTTGCTCGTTAATTTATAGAAAAGTACGAGTTAAATTTAGCAAATTCAATTGGAAATTAAGTAGAAATTTAATTTGAAATTAATCTTACAAGTTATTGAAAAGCGATGAAATAGAATTATTCGAACGTGGATATTTGTTAAAACATATCAAAGGACTTTTTTTTTTTTTTTTTTTTTTGCTAAAAACGATAGACCTGATGATTAACATTTTGTCAGTTGAAATTTGCTTCAAGTACGTTGATAACAGTGTAAGCACAGAAACACGTTATCATGCTCATATATGCTCCTCGATAAGATTAACATATTCTCATAATTGTATTATATAATTATATATATTATATATTATATATTATATATATTATATATTATATATATCATATATATTATATATATAATATATATATATTAGATAATTATATATATAATAATTGTATTACATAATTATATATATATATATTCCTTGATAAGATTAACATATTCTCATAACTGTGCTCTCCTTGAAGTTTGCAATTGTTGGCTTTTGTTGCAGATACTAAGGCTTGGTAAAGGGGCGTTGATTCAAATGAGCGCTGGCCAGGTGGTGAACCTCCTCAGCAATGATGTCAGTCGTTTCGACGAATTATGTTGTTACTTGAACTTCCTCTGGATAACGCCCATTCAAGTAATACTGAACAAAATCTACGAGATGTTTCACATTTGCTTTAATACTAAACTCCTGCACGTTCTCTCCCTCCCTAACTAACCTAAACTCCATTCTTGTAGATCATCATTGTGACCACGATAATGTGGTACAAGCTGGGAACTGCAAGCTTAGCCGGTATCGCGACTCTTCTGGTGATAACCATCCCGACTAGCAGCTTGTTCCTTAGAATGACGCAAAAGTTTAGAGAAACCATCGCTTGCTGGACTGACAAAAGGATGCAGCTTATGAACGAGCTTATCAGTGGTATTCAGGTATCATCAGAAGACAAGCGAGAATAGTAGTTCTTGAATTACGCTGTCACGCACTTGTTGTACAGATCTATTCATTTCTTGACCGAGCTATTTTTTGAATTTTCGTACTGCTCAGGTGATCAAGATGTACGCTTGGGAGAAACCGTTTAGAAATATTGTCACAAACATACGAGCTGTCGAAAGCAAGGCGATCAGGAATACCACTTATGTCCGTGCATCGCATCTGTCCTTCTCGGCCTTTGTGAATCGTGTCGTTCTGTTCGTAACTCTCCTGACGTACACTGCACTGGGAAACGAGGCGAAAGCGGACCTAACGTTCATGATGTTCAGCTACTTTCAGATCGTTCAGCTCACGACTACGCTGTTCTTCCCGCAGGCTCTTCTATTGGGCGGAGAGACCTTCGTGTCCATTAAGAGATTACAAGTTGTTTGACATAGTTCAATTTTACTCTAACATATAGTCACATACTCTTGCTCACTTACTCACTTTTCTTCCAACGAATACAAATTGCCTCGCTTTTCCCCAGAAATTTTTGTTACTGGAGGAACACACGAGCGAGGAGTCACGCCAGAACGCAGTCTTGAAATTCAAGAAAAAGAATATGGAGAAAGGGAGCGTGGAATCTATCAAAATGCGGTCCACGAACGCCAACCAAAATTCCAGCTCGAACAATATAGAGCACGAACAAGTAGCCGTCTCGATAGAACTGGAACGAGTGTCGGCGAACTGGATACCCAAGCAGCTACCACCGACTTTGTGCAACCTCTCCGTCAAAATCAAAGGTGGAAATTTGTGCGCCTTGGTCGGTCCAGTCGGTTCAGGCAAATCCTCGATCTTACATTTACTTCTGAAGGAACTTCGTCTAGGCGCTGGAAAGATGAAACTGTATCACGAGCCACTGGACAACATCGAGTACGACAGACACGGGTACGCGAGCAACATACCGAATCTGAAAATTTCTTACGCCAGTCAAGAGGCTTGGCTCTTCTCTGGCTCTGTCAGGGACAACATTCTCTTTGGACAACCTTACGACAAGGAGAGATACATGGCTGTAGGTTCTGCCAATATTTAATATTGGAAGTTAGTGGTAGAATTAGTTCATTAAGTAGTTCAGTTAATTAGTAGAATTAGAGAGTTGATGAGTAGAAAAGTAAAAATTGTTTATAAAATTTTGATTATTAGAAAGAGATATTCCAGTGTCACCAAATTAACTGTTCTCTTCAACTTCTTAGGGAATTTAATTGTACCAAATGTGTTTAATTGTATTAAATGTTAGTAAATTTAATTGAATCGCATGAATGAAATGTGAATACGTTTTAGGTAACGAGAGCTTGTGCTTTGATTAAGGATTTCCAACAGCTGCCTTATGGCGACATGAGCAACGTGGGCGAAGGCGGGTCCTCTTTATCCGGGGGACAAAAGGCACGAGTAAATCTGGCACGAGCGGTCTACAGAAAGGCAAACGTTTATTTGTTTGATGATCCTTTGAGTGCAGTGGATTCACGCGTGGCCAAGCATCTTTTCCACAGGTGTATCAAAAGCTACCTTCGCGGGACTACCAGAATCTTGGTCACCCATCAGTTACAATTTATCAAACAGACAGACACTATTGCAGTATTGGACAGAGTAAATCTTTCCCATCAAATCAAAACGATCTCAAATAAGAAATATAATGATGACAAATTACAAGCATGAAACATAATTACAAGTTGGAGTTAAATTCATAGAAAGTTTGTTTCAAAAATCTCAAGATTACTTTGAAAATCACTCAACAGAGAGTGGGTTTTGAAAGTAGTCTTGAGATTTTTTGAAACAAACTTTCTATGAAAACTATATACTATTTTGAAAACCCACTCTCTGTCGAGTGGTTTTCAAAGTAGTCTTGAGACTCCTGAAACAAACTTTCTGTGAATTTAATTCCAACGTGTAATTATGTTTCTCGTAATTTAATAAAAGGTTCTATAAGCATGTACGAGAAACATAATTACAAATTGGAATTAAATTCATAGAAAGTTTGTTTCAAAAGTTTCAAGAGTTTCAAGACTACTTTGAAAACCACTCAACAAAGAGTAGATTTTGAAAGTAGTCTTGAGATTTTTGAAACAAACTTTCTATGAAAACTATATACTACTTTGAAAGTAGTCTTTTAAGAGTAATCTTGAGATTCTTGAAACAAACTTTCTATGAATTTAACTCCAACTGTGTAATTCTGTTTCTTGTAATTTAATAAAGGGTTCCATAAGCATGTACGGGACGTACGAGGAGTTGTCCAAGTCGAATGAAGATTTCACAGAAGTAATGAATCGCATCGAAACGTCGACGGAGGCTAAGAAGCAAAACGAAGTTGCTGAAGCCTCTGAGAGTCTCGAGAGAAGACGAGAAAGTCTGGACGTCGGTAGAATCGGCGTCCGTAGGTTGTCTTCCGTGATATCTACCAACAGTAGCGTGGTAATGGCAACGTGTGTGTATGTAGCATGTTGCAGTTGAAACAAATTAATACATGAAACGATATAATAATCGTTTTCAGGCCTCCTACGACTACGAAGATTGTATGTCAGTGCCGGACAATAACGAAACGGTGGCAACAGGCCGTTTCTCCAACAAAATCTACAAGAAATACTTTCAGAACGGCGGCTCGATTTACGCCCTGGTTGCTTTACTAGTCATGTTCGTTGTTTCTCAAGTGGCAATGACTGGCAACGACTATTGGGTCTCCTACTGGACGAACATTGAAATCATAAGGAGATCGTTGAACAGGAACAACTCGTTCAAGGCTCAGTATTCGATTTACGTGTTGAATGATACAATATTGTCGCGTGTGTTCGATTTGGACGAGCACGGTCTCTTGAACACCGTCGACGCTATATACGTGTACGCTTTTTGCATCATATCCTGCGTTGTGATGGTATACGCCAGGAACATGTTCTTTATGAAGGTTTGCACAAACGCTAGTAAAAATCTTCACGACACGATGTTCTCCAACATATTGCAAGCGACGATGACCTTTTTTCATAATAACGTTTCTGGTAGATATTTTCTGCATCGTATACAATTTATTTAGTGGTATTAACCACCCCGTTAACATTTTAGAAACCGTCCGTTCGTGTACGAAACGCCGATGCAAATTAGAATGATGATGGAAACTTTGTTCCTTGTTTCTGCAGGAAGGATTTTAAACAGATTCTCCAAGGATATGGGCTCCGTAGACGAGGTGATGCCCAAGGTGATATTAGAGACCATTCAGATGTTTCTGATGGTAGTCGGTATCGTTTGCATGGTGGTGACTGTGAATTATTGGATGCTGATCCCGTTAGCGGTGTTTCTCATTCTATTTCTATTCGTGAGGAACTCGTTTCTGAGAACTGCCCAGAGTATCAAGCGTCTCGAGGGTGCAGGCAAGTGTTTCGTGGTTGCTACTTCATAATGTTCATCTATTTTTTTTTGAGAAGATCAAATGCATTTTTTTTCTGTTTTGAGAGGCCAATAATTTGGTACATTTGGTTTATCTCTAGACAGAGGCTAGATGTAGGAGATATGAAAGTTAGTACTATTTTCTGAATTAATTATGCCATTTTCTTTTATATCAGTCGATGCAGCAGGTCATTTTCTGTCAAAAAGTATTAATCTATGTATATTGAAAAGCTATTCGTTCAGGAGATACTTTAACTTTGATTTTATAAAATCTGTCATATGAAAGAAAAGAAAGAACAAGTATTCATTCATATTTCTTCTTGTCTTTTGCAGATAGATTTTATAAGAAATATCTCCATAACCAATGGGTTTTAGATGTAGATAGATTATAATATTTGTTTGTAGAGAACGACTTGTGTAAAAGAAAATTATATAACTATATTTGAAAAAATAACAGTGACCACTATTTTTCTCTTACATGCATCTATCTAGAGACAAAGTAACAATAAGTAACCAAAGTAAACCAAATTACTGTCCTCTCAAAACAGAAAAAAATGCATTTGACACATTTCTTTAAATGATGAATAATTTCATTTATAGAAATAATTGTATTTATAGATTAAAGTGGAACACCCTGTGCACCATGATATTCAGTAAATCTAAAATCTAGCAAATCTTGAACTTTTAGCAAAGAGCCCAGTATTTTCCCACGTGAGCGCCACGCTAAGCGGATTGACCACCATCAGAAGCAGTGGATCGAATATTGTGGAGTTGTTGCAAAAGCAGTTCGATGACTTGCAAGATGTACACACCGGTACGTGGCACATGAGTATAGTTGTGCCTGTAATTTTTGGTCTGTACATGGACTTCTTCGTGACGCTGTTCATCGCCTGCGTTTGTTTCTATTTCGCTGTAATAAACACAAGTAATGCTTTTCAAGTTACAATTCTACTATTCACTATAACTCACTGCAATTCTACTTTAACGATTAAAATCGTTTGTCTTAAAATTGTCTACGACTATTAGATAGCATTCTTGGAGGTAACGTCGGTTTGGCTATATCACAATCGTTGGGTATAATTGGTACCCTGCAACATGCGGTGAAGCGAAGTGGCGAAATGATATCTCACGTAGCGTCCGTGGAGAGGATCCTAGAGTACACGAATTTGCCCCAGGAAGCTTCGTGGACCAGTGACAATCCTCCGTCGGCGGATTGGCCGAAACACGGACAAGTGACTCTGAATAATGTCACCATGAAGTATGACAAAGAAAAAGCCCCTGTGTTGAAGGTAATCAGAACAGGAACATGAATTGTTTATTTTAATTATTTCACATTTAATTAGATATAATATATCTTATAATAGATTATATTAGATATAATG